GTGTCCCGATGTAAACCAGAATCATTAATGGGCCATAATTTATAGATTACAAGCTCTCGTTGCGCTAAAAAAAGGGCGTTACCCTCGAGATCGTACATTAATTGTCTATCACGCGCAAAGTAACTAACGTTTGCGCAATGCGACATGTCGAGAGGATTTCATTCTCGGTATATCTCTTTTTATCTCGCGTGTCGCGTAGATAAGGAGTTAATTGACGTTGATGAGCAGCGTATAATTAACGACGTCACGGCGTGCGTAAATAGGAAATCGAAAGTGGAAGAGTAGCGGTTCGACGTCTCATTATAGACAGGCCGACTGGTACATGCAAAAGTGTGATTTAAAATTTGAAAGATTTGATAAAATACAGACATGTATCGATAATCGATGTTCTTGTTATTGATTTCTTAACTGCAACGTGTATAAGTCCAGAGTGTGGGACATTTTGTTAATTTTAAAATAATCTAATAATTTGGAATAATTTTATGTTTTATGTTTTTCATACAAATACAGCATCTCTAAAAGACGTTCTAAAATAGACGTTTCTACGATGTCAAGAAAACATTCTATGTTCTAAGGACGTCTCTGGGATGTCTACAGAATGAAGTGTGATGTTTAGGGATTTTTAGTCTACTCATGTAGGCTAATTAATCGTACTGTATTCATAAAATTTATGTATTATCAATTCTTAAAAGAAAAGAAAATATCAAAAAGCTTTAGTGGGTCTCAAGAACGCATATATTTCTTTAGCTATAAAAAAATACGTGTGTTTTTGTTAGGAATGAACGATTTGATGAAAGAAAAGCAAAAAATAAATATACCACGGGCTCGTCCGGGATTTGAACCCGGGACCTCTCGCACCCGAAGCGAGAATCATACCCCTAGACCAACGAGCCGCTTCGAGAAGCTCCTTCGTTATAAACGCACTAGTGCAACCGCTACAATGTTATACTAAACTAATTAACGATCTTACAACATGATTGCATGAGATATATGTGATTAGTGTTCCACTTACCGTCAGTCCAGTCACGCTCGTGTGCATTCGGATTTGCGTTTATCTCGCAAGAAACGGAAATAAACATTCTATATCTTCGGACGAAACACGTTTACGAACTTAACCCAGAAATTTAATCAAAATAATTATCGTCAAGGATATTTTAATGGAAAAAAACTCCACAAAGAATATTCTCGAGTTTTTAATCTCTACAATCTATCACTTTGATCAACGTCGATTATTTAATATCTTATCTCACTGTTTGATACGTATATACTATAAGCAACGCTTAATAATGTATATTCAATTTCTCTAATTACTTCCTTTAAAATCTTTTTGTCGTAAATCTCAAATTGGTAACGACTATATAATTTAATGACGCGATATTATAAGAAACAAATACTTCGTAGCTAGCATTACCAGCTGTGTCGGGGAAAATAGTTCGTTGAAATAGAAAATAAAAGTATTTTGTTTAACCAGGAATATGGAAGTATCAAATAAGTACCTTACTTAAAGTAAATTAATACTATTTGCCTTTTTTCTATTTACCACGCAAAACTAATTTTAAATAATATTTTTCGTAAATCCATACTTAAAATATTTCTGAATTCATTTCAATTTTCTCCCAGCTCTCTGGTTACCAGAGTCTTTTAAGAATACATATGTACTCTTTCATGGAGATCCTAAATTAAACATCTGGTTTTATTAATTAAAATTATTTTATATTTAATTGTACTAATAAGTATTGTCGTATGCAATAAAAATTATGTTTTAGGAATTTTGATTTATCACATATCTATATTTAATGCATGAAGAATCGTACCCCCTTCTTCTGCCCTCGAATTATCTTTTCTTTTTAACGTACATGTGTATATCATTCAGGTATGGTAATTCTTTTCACAACGTACCTATAAGTAACGCAAACTCGCCGCCTTTGTTCCATTTCCATCCATTTCCCTTATTTTTCGATCTCACAGGCACAAATGACGTGACAGAGCAACGAAATAAAATTATTGAAGAAACTGCCATGCACTTAGGGCCATGAAATGGATATAAAACAATTGATCGGAACAACCGGAGAGGTGACGGACGTGGCGAGAACTGTGCCGAGGCTCGTGGCTCCATCTGTAGCCGGAGAGATAGATTCGTGTTGCGTGCTATTCCCCTCCGACCTCTGCGCATCATTTCATCGTGGAATAACCGGCATGTTTTAAGGAATGCATGTGACCTACAACAAAGTTGAGAAAAGGTCACGAAGCGTGGGTTGCGCAATTACTTTTCATCGCGCGAGCGTAATTGCGGGACCCACGTTGGCGCAGGGGAAAAAAAGAAAAAGGAAGAAAGAAAAGAGGGAAGTGGGAAATATTCTTTATGTACCCTTTTCGTCCGAGTCTTACTTTAAACGCAAAGGGCTCTGTGAGATAAATTATCAGCCGGAGGCTAGAATAGTAGCTTCTTGGGAACAGTACCAAAAGAGAAGCGGGGAGCAAAACAATAATGAATCCTTTGCTGAAACCGAATGCTCTATTCTATTATAATAATCATTCCGAAGCTAACACGAAATGACACGCTACGTTTACCTGAAAATCAAATGTTTCTTTCAAATAAAAAAGAAGGAATTAAAAAGAAATTCTTTTTAAAGAGAAAGGGTTCGATAAATATATATGTACCATATGTCCTTTTTCTGGAAAAAGCATTCATAATAAGCGCAAGCTATTCAGAAAAGATATTCTAAATGTCATTTTAGGGCAGGAGAGCGGTTTACTTTTACGGTTATACGAACGATACTTTTTACAATCTAGTGTTTTTTGATTTGCAAAAGTATTATAATTAAACAATTTGATTCTTGCGTCTCTCATTGGAAATATTGTAAACTATTTAATTTAATTTTCATTACTAAAGTAATACGAAAAAATGCACAATATTTCTTGATGTCTTAAGAAATTTATTTAACTTTAATTAGTTAGTATAAAAAATGTTTCCAGTATTAGTATTAATTTTTAATACACAGACTGCCATCATTATATCATATCCATCATTTTATCCTGACGCCTCTTTCACATAGTAATAATAAATATCCTTTTCTTAATTACGTTATTTGAATTTTTTATATTTAACAAATGTAATAAAATTATTACAATTATTATGTGGAGATATTTAATGTCCTATAGATTGGACATTGATTTTAGTTATTTGAGTTTATTAGAATATCCAATATATGCGTATATAACAAAATTATTAATTATTAAAAAATATTTGGTGTTCTGTAGATTTTCTATTTCTACAACAAAGACTTGAGTTGTGAAAACATAAAAAGAACTCAATAGGATTTGTATAGGGTAATGTCAACTTCAAAGTGCCGGTTGAGATTCCAGCAGAAAAAAGGGATCCATTAAAGAAAAAGTGGTAAATCCATTCAGTCCCGTTTAAAAATATGCGGTCTACCATACGGTTCTTTTAGTAGCTTCTTTTATGTTCTCTTGACCATATTTGTGACATGTACAGTTGCTTCGAGTGATTTAAATTTACTATTGTTTCGTACTCAGATTTGGTTTATTATAGGACGCCGTAAAGATTTGATACATCACTATTATTTTAAACGCAAATAATTTGTCGTTGAGTAAATTCGCGTCTTTCTTCGACGATGGGGGAAATGTTTAAGCGGTACAAGCAAGAGTGAGTTTTAATTTTACACGATCGAAATGTCACTCGATAAGACACGCCGAAGGAAAGTGGCGCGATTTAGGTGCACGCACAAGGAAAAATCTCGACAAACGAGCAAGCGGACGAGCAAGTGATCGCTCGTTACAAGCACTGAATTTAATCGGCCATCAAGCACGAGCCGAGATCGCCATGCCGTCACGGTCGTCCCTCCAAGGACGCGTCTCGAGAGTCATCTCGTTACACGGATATACGTATATATAAGTGCGTGATTTACTCGCTCTGGTCGAATCGTAGAACGACCGAGTAATACCGCGCCGTGTGTAATGCAATCGTTTCGACGCACAGCGCCGAGAATCGACGTCTCGCATTAAATGTCACATTCTAAATAGCGAACCATTACGTAAAGCAAACTGCCGTAAATCCTTCCCTTGATACAGAAGCGTACGTATCGTCGTCGTCGTCGTCGTCGCGGTCGCAGCCATGGGACTTTCCCACGTTATATATTTGCTCCGAAGAAAGTCACGAAAACGACCCTAATTCGCCGACATTAGGCAGAGAAAAAAGAAGGAAGGCGACGAAAACGAAAGTAGATCTTTTTTTTTTCTTGGGCACTTAATCACATAACAACGTATATCGAGAAATTAGGATATTTATCTGATGCCTCCTTTTTTTATTCAACATCGTAAGCTTTGGTTAATTTCGAGAAAAAAAAAAAGAGATTAGTGAGTCCCAGATCTTCCCCCCTACTACAAAAAGAGCACCAATTAACTCTAACGACGGTTACAAAACGCGTAGCTGTAATAAAGTAATTTGTAGCAGTTGTTCTTCTTGTAGCGATATTGCTGTGTCTACAACATACAAAAATTTATTTTTATAAATCCGTTCCATAAATAACAATTTTTTTGCATTCTGCTTTTATACTTTCTAATTTTAATCGCTATATTTATCAACTGAAAACACGATGGTGGAGTATAAAAAAGTCTCTGTCAGAAGGACTAAATAAAACAGTGTGGCTTGTCGATCTCGCAAAGAGAGTCGCACTTTGAGAGTCGGCAAGTGATTATACGTGTCGTAGATATATTGAAAAGAATAGGAGGTGACGTGGTGAGGAAAGGAGTAGGAAAAGCACGAGAAGAGAGGGTACCAAGTGAAGCCCCTCCCTCATCAACCCCCACCATGAATCTGGAGAAGGATTATCCGGTCCCTCCAGCAGAATCCCCCACCAAGTGGTCTGACAGGACCCACAACCCACCTGTACCACTCGGCTAGACCGTGCATGCTTCTCCGCTGATCCGACGCACAGTATGCCTATAAGGCCCATTCGAGATATACTTACGAGAGCGCACGAGCGAGGCCCCGCAGCGAGCGAGCGGAGAACCGATCCGGCAGTCGAGAAGTGGGACCACGGAAAATAAACGTGCAGAAGTGGGGGTCGATTCAAGAATCGATGTGGACACCCTCACCTACCAAAGTCATTCACCTAACGGTCATCGGCGCGTCAAGAGTCTTCGTCTTCTTCCGTTATCCGGTCTCGCCAATCGCAAAGGCTCACGTTCGCCATCGGTCAGTTTGCAATCTGTCGTGCGAAAGAAGGTTTTAAGTAGAGTGACGGAGTTTAAATAGAAGATACATAGACACTTCACCCGATTCAAAGTTCCGGAAAACTGCCCGCAAAACTAGAGTAGTGACTTCTCAACAAAAACGAACAATTTCGAACAGTGCCTTAATAGAGTTGTTAAGTTGTTAATTATGAGAGACTCTTTTCCAAAAGTGTTCTCGTTTTAGTGAAATTGTGTGACTGATCGTGCGTTTTTCTGTGATTTTGCTTCTACCTGTGAACGCCCGAGAACAAAATCTTGCTAAAATGGAAAAGTATATCAGGAGACAAATCCTCGAGAAATAATTGTGATACAATGGAATGCTCTATCTGAAATCGCTGCCGAATAATGGTCGTATCTGCCCAACGTTAATCCATTATAACAATAAAAGTACGTAATATTTTGTGATAATCTAATTGTTTGAAAGTCAAATTCGGGATTTGCGCACAAGAAACAATATTGCCTATCGCAGTTTTGAACGCGACATGTCATTAGTCTTGATATTATTTTTCAGAAACATCAGTTCTAGTAATGTGTCAAAAAATTACGTATATATATATATATATAATAATTTAGAAGACATTCATTTCAAGCAACGTAACATAGAGACCGCGATACGTCATTCAGCGATTCAGCTTATTGTTAGCGTAAAATATATCCACGCTAGAAAGAATGATTTTGCTGAAAGATCTAAAATTATGCTGATCGAATCTGAAAATAATTTTGTTAGACTTTAAAAATCTAATTACAGAAATTAGAAAATGATCAATGCTGCAAAAAATATTGATATTCTAGCGAGATATTCGAGTTTGAATTTCCAACAGATTTTTGACGGTGTGACACAATTCTTTTCGGATCCGTATGTAATCCGGCAAAATGTTAAATCTTTCAGCGAAATCATTCTTTCCGTGCAGTTAACTTTTAACGCGCGTTATCGTACGTTGAGTGCAATAACTAATTTACTAAATGTGCTTGCGCACTCGGGAATCGTATTTGACGCAGTCTTAATGATATCGAACCGTGTAATTCCGCGTCATGCCTCGGAAACGACAGTGTGATCGAGCACGCGAGAGCGATGAGAATCCGCCAGGCAATCGGTTCGTCGCGGATTAGGCACCGCGATGAGTTTTCGGTCGCGGCTCGTCAGTCCTGATGAACGCGCGTGCGTTGCCGACCCGTTCGTCTTCGTAAACCGTGGAATTTACTCGCGGGGCATCGCGCCGCGACGAATCGTCCGTGCGTTCGATCGAGGACCGATTACGACAATAGAATCGGAAATAGCGCCGCGGTGCATTGCGTCGCGCGCAATGCGAAGGCCGATCGGCAGAACGCGCGCTGCGGAACGCCGCTTCGTTTCGAAAGAACGGAAGTCGCTCTTTGCAAACTAGAGCCGTCGCCGAGATTAGGTTGCACGATGCCGGAATCGCTTGCCCGCAGGGACGATCGATCGCCCCCGTCGATAAATGCTCATCCAGATAATTTGCGCGAATAAATGAGCGGATGATCGAAAACGGTAGCATCAAAGAGAGATAGCGAGAAGAATCGCCGTCGGCCGGCGGGACGTTTTGGTCCGTGCAGTTCTATTCGAGTTGTCTTTTGCGAAAAATAAAAAAGAAAGTAGCACTTGCTCACGAACAAGAACCCTACACATTGTACATATTTTTAGTTTCGACCTTGACTAAAGTAACTCATAAAGATAGAGTTATAAAAGAACCCTTCGAATTTATTTCCCTTTTTTTTTTCGTAAAAAAAAAACTTCTCTGTGTCTTGGGACAGAATGCATAAAATGGCAAAACTTTTCACTAACGAGAAAGAGTAAAGCGAATATTTTTTGGCAAAAAAATGCAATAAAAAATACAGCAGAATACCCTTCTTTTCTTCTTTTTAAGAAGAACTCTTGCTTTCTCCGAAAAAAAATAAATATAAGGACATTTATCTTAGATTCGTAAGAGTTAAAAACCAATTAAAATCGTTTGTGTACGCTTTTGAAAAAGAATTTTGCCTTGCCATTTCAATGTTTTTAACCTTTCCTTTTTACATCATTTTAACCGTTCCTTTTTACATCATTTTAACTGTTCCTTTTTTATGTCGTCATAAAAATATCACAACGCAAAAAAATTGCAAATTAGTGTGAAAGTCATGCATCTCCGATTATTTTTGATGCTGTTATTTATTAAATTAACAGAAAAAAATCTTTCTCCATGTAAGAAAGATATACTAAATTTATAGATTTATTGAATTCACATCTTTTCACTTTATCTAAACAAAGTGAATGAAATTTAAGTATCGACACTAAAAAAAAAAAACAATATTTTTTTCCTTTACAATCATATTTTTTGTCTCTTTCGAGTAATTGCGTCGTATCTCTGGAATTTCTGGAAATTGTGTAGTCTCCTTCTGTCTTCCGTAATTCTGAAGTATCGACACTACTAGCTCCACCGCGAGATGCAGAGCATATAGACTGGCTGATTACAGTTTTGTTTCTTTTATGGTACGTACATTCTTGTGCCTGTTGTCACATGTTTCGGAATTACGATCGTTTAATAATTATTGTGATCATAAAATTCTTTTTATTCGATTTGTCAAGATTCACTGCGCTCCGATGTTTAGTTTAACGAAAACGTAAAATTATATTGCATAATAATGTAATGTTATTTCTATTTAAGTAGTTTTTCTCTCTCGTTATTGCGTGCCTTCCCCTTAACATGCACATGCAATTCAATTAAATTACGATTTCGACTAAATTTAAATTAAATTGAATGCTGTGCGTCTAAAAAAATCTTATATCAAACTTAAAAGTAAATTCTACTCTATCCTTCCATGAGAAAGATCTTTTTTTACGATAAAAGATATAATGAATGATCGAAGAGAAAGGTCAGCATGGAAAAGGAGAAGAAACGCAGCGCGATTCGCAAAAATTATGACGATTGGTCGCTTCATAAGCATCTTGACAGATGTTCACCTCACAGCCATCACCAATGATCATTGGGGAGAGACTTTGCGCGGGTGTACGTTACGATTCTCACGGCTCGCCGCTGGGTCTGCTTGGCACAACAATTGCACGCGGTCTACAAGGTCAAGCCTCGTGGCGGTCCCCGACGATCTTGGCGATGATCGTTGCCGCCGAGATCCGCTGGTAGTGATAATACGTACCAAGTCTTGTCGCCGTATGTCGAGAGCGCCTTCACATCCGCAAAAGCGGACCGCCATCGTCGCTCGACGCAAATCGAAGCGATCCGGATGGTTTACGTTGCCGGAGCTCCGGGGGTTTGCATTCTCGTGTCCGTGGTGTTGCGATTGCAACGTCTCATTATGATTAGCGTAAAAAAGATAAGGGAGCCAAAACTCTCTCGTTGCCGCAAGGAAACGTAAGATTGTCGGAAAATTGAAAGGAAGGAGACACACAATAATAGCTCGCAATCTTTAATACCGCGTCCAGAGTCGCGCGGGCTATTACGATTACAGAGCCGTGAATCAGCTATTTACATGCGCCGACCACGGCGGCCGGAGATCGGCATAACAAGTGCGCGGCGACCACTTATCGTCGCCGGACGTAATTGTAAAATTCCCGATTACGCCGAATAATTCTCGCGAAGCAAGATAGGTATAGATACTAGATAGCTTTTATTAATCGCTGGGTAAAACCAGAACGTCGTCTCCGCAGATATAGCGAATAAGAGGCAGCATTCCCGTCTTCTCTCTTGCCTATTTTTATCGATTCTTTAATCTTCAAGATTTTTATCCTCAGTATTTCTGTAAAAATTATTATTATATTTAGTTCTACATAAATGCACTTGATAAACTGTATGCTGTATCGTTATCTTAAAAATTATTTACAAATTATGTCGCATTTAGGAACATTGTAAATAAATAGTATAGAATAATACAAATTTTATAAAGTAAAGTATTGAAAAAAAACATAGAACACACACAGAAAAAACAGTTTTGCTAAAGTATCTAAAAAAACTAGATACAAATATAAAAATAATTTTGTTGAACCATCAAAATAGTTATACAGAACGCTTAAATATTAATGATAATGCTGCAAACAGTTTTAAAATTACAACAATCATCTTGAATGTTCTACATAACCATTTTAATAAGCCAAATAAAATTATTTTCAAAATCATTTTAACTATATTAACTTTAAATATTTGAACAAACAGTTCTTTCTATGCAA